ACTATATGGTCACCCAACAAACACTTAACAATAGCCTCTACGAGCCAAATGTCTGGCTCACTGCTGCCAACTAGTGGTCAGAGGCTGAACTACAACATAAAAATGAACGGCTGGCAGGAAAGTTGACATTTTAAACCTTAATAAAAAATCGATACAGGGCTTTAGAATATCGATACAGTATCGGGAAATGAAATATCGCGATATTTCAATGTATCGATATTTTCTTACACCCCTAATAGAGACCTTATTGGTTGTGCSTTGTTGCCGTATAAATAAATTGAACTTTATTTTTTCATGGGAACTATCCCGTTTGTCACAGCCGGCTTTTATTTTACTTCTTCTGAACCAAAACTTAAAAACAGTGTCTGTTTTTATAAGTTAATTTTTATTAATTTCTTCATCTTTGTMAGTCATGTTACGTTAGTGACCAGTGTGGATCTTTATTTTCTTTAATGAAAGACTACAAACAATATGTCCATGAAGCTGCCAAACATGGCTCAAAATATTTCTATTCCAGTGGTGTAATATAATCATTTACTAAGTATTTTTGTCCATTTTTCAGTCAGCTAACTCATGGATTGGTGGTGAGGAGGAACCTCTTACCGGCTTCACCTGGCGAGGTGGCTGTGAGAGAGAGACCACAGGTATCCAGGCCTGGAGTGAAGTGTTCGTGGTGGAGAAGCCAGATGGAAACAAGGTTAGTTCTCAGCTTTGTGTGTCAGACATYGTAAAAATCAGGTTCATCTGTTGGACTGCAGTTGTGTAAATGTGCGGTATGTGTGTGTTTTCCAGGTTGCTGTTTTACTCGTTGACACACAGGGAGCATTTGACAGCCAGTCTACCATCAAAGATTGCGCCACGCTGTTTGCCCTGAGCACCATGACCAGTTCTGTTCAGGTGACCAGCAACCAGAACCCCATATCTGATWGTCTCTCTAGAATTGCTCCAGCCAAATAAATAACTTATTTCAAGAGTTTTATTGTCGCATACAAGCAGTTACACTGTGCAATGAAATTCTCACTTTGCWGTTCCTCCATTTAYCGACAGTCTGAAATAACTGGCTTGTGTGCACTCCAGGGTTCGGGTTTCGAAGAAAAAAATCTTGTCGAACCCTGGAGCGCKCCACCCCATTATTTACAGCAAGTAGTTCCACAAAGTTTCTGTCAGGCGTCTGCTGTCATTTTGCAGCTCTGCAGAAATGATTTGTTTAAATAAGCAACAGTGTTGRTGTAATAAAAATTGCAATTTTATCACAATCCAGAAATGGCAAAAGACAAGATGAAGTTACAAATAAT